CCTTGGTGAATAAAACCTCACCAATTCCCTTCTGTGCCCCCGTGATGAACTTATAGGCAGCCACAAGGTCGCCTCTCAACCTTCTCTTGTGGAGGCTGAAGAGGTCCAGGTGCCCCAGTCTCTCCTCGCAGGGCTTGGCCTGCAAGCCCTTAATCATATGAGTGGCCGTTCTCTGGACCCTCTCCAGGTTATCCGCATCCCTCTTGAAGTGTGGCGCCCAAAACTGCATGCAGTATTCCAACTGCAGTCTGACCAACGCCTGATAGAGGGGAATTATCACCTCCTTGGTTCTGTTCGTCATGCATCTGCTGATGCACGATAAAGTGCCATTAGTTTTTCTGATGGCTTCGTCACACTGATGACTCATGTTCATCTTGGAGTCCACTAGGACTCCAAGATCCCTTTCCGCTTCCGTGCCCCCCAGCAGGTCATTTCCTAGGCAGTAGGTATGCTGAACATTTTTCCTCCCTAGGTGCAACATTTTGCATTTCTCCTTGTTGAATTGCATTCTGTTGTTTTCCGCCCATAGGTCCAACCTGTCCAGGTCTGCAGTTGTTCCCTGCCCTCCTGTAGTTGTTCCCTGCTCCCCCCTCCCGATGATCTTCTGAGGTCCCTTCCAGCCCTAATGTCTATGAAATCTATGAAATTGCAACAAAGGACATTTAGTTTGAATATTAGGAAAAAATTTCTCACTAGGAAGGTGGTTAAGCCCTGCAACAGATTACTTAGAGAGCCTGTGGAATACCCATTCTGGGAAGTTTTCAAGAGCAAGTTAGACAAACAGTTGCTGGCTGGGGTGATAGATCAGAGATGAGCCTGACTGGAGCAGGGAGTTGGATTAGATGACCTACTTGTGTCCCTCCCTCCACTTTTCTATGATTCTATCCTTGTGGGTCTTCCTTTCTCTGCCACTTGTGACTGATTCTTATATGAACTGAAGAATCATGACCTCACTCTCCATTCTCTTACTGACTTTTCTTCTATTATCCAAACAGGCAAACCTTTCATGTATGTGCATGCTACTGACCTTGATGATCCTACAACTCCCAATGCACAGCTGAGTTACAGCATTTTCCAGCATTTTCCTAACCCCTATAATGTGATGCTTTTTGAGATCAATAATAAAACTGGAGGAATCGCTACTAGTCCTCAAGGTATGGAAAATTATTGTCTTGGTTGAAACTTGCATTTGTGAACTGCTTAGATATAGTAGCGGTAGTGATAGTTGATATAGAAAATATTAAGGAAGAGATGACTAGAATATGTCTTCTGTTATTCCATGGAATTAGTTGTTATGCTTAACCACTTATGGAACTACCATCTCATACAGTATAACCAATTATTGTCTATTTTTGTAGTGCCTAGAAGCCTCAGTCACAGTACAGCATCCTGTTGGACTAAGCACCAAAAAAGAGAACAGAAATGGATAATTATGAGTTAATTATGATAGTGCCAGTAGATTATATATTTGTCATGAACAGGTGTTTCTTGGACAATGCATCTTTACAATGGCATTACCTTATGCTAGTTCAGATAAGCACCAAATCAGAATTGTCTCTCAAAAATCTTTGTGTGTTTATTTGTTTATTTAAATATTAAAATTCCAGTATAGTATTGCACTCAGCAGAAGAGCAGTTCTCAGGCTTTTAGGTAATTATGACAGAGAAATAAATGAAGGGCCTCATGAAATCAGCTGGAATTGATCAGACCTTGAAATACTACCTATGCTTTCCAGTCCTTATTCTCTCCCTTGGGAAGCAGGATAAAGCAATATACCCAATCCATTTTAGGGGATGATGAAAAATACCTTGGAATAACAGTTATATAAAAGCATGTGCTGGCACAGATACACAAAAAAGTGTTTAGGCTCCCTCTGTTGATAAGCAATGTGCGTGTAATATTAGAGCCTTGGTATTGTTTCATTCATATCACTTTGTTTTGGTTTCTAGGAGCTCGTCTTTTAGATCCCCAGAAGCAGGATCATTTCACCCTTGTTGTCACAGTGAAGGATTTGGCAGGAATGACGGGGAATGCTTTCACCAATAATGCTGATGTGGAAATCACTGTGAAGGAGAACCTTTGGAAGGCACCTCCTCCAGTACATATCAGAGAGAACTATCTTGGTCCCTATCCCATCAACATCACTCAGGTAGGATCTAGAAAGCAGATAAATGACTGATGTCAATGCATCTACCTGCCCTAAATCTTACCCCTGGTGCAAAATCTCTTTCTTTTAGTTAGAACACTTTGGTATATCTCCAGTGCTGGACATGAAGGTCTATGTGAGTTTTGCTCAAGGAAGACTTAGGTGAACACAGAATACAGATTTCAGGATTGGGAATAGTTTATACAGGCTGCAAATCTGGAATAGTGCAGGTTGCATTATTATATCTTTATCATGCAAGCGGTAATTTGGACATGATTTAGATGTAGTCTTTATTATTTTAGGTGGAGGGCCTCTTAACAAGGTTTGGCAATTTTTGGTGGGTAGCTCCACCTCTTGACAGGTGCCCCACCCCCTGGTCACCATTTTAGGACTGGAAGTCCCACCCTTAGCCCCTGATCATTACCACCAGAAGTCCCTCTTCTTGCCCCCCAGAAATACTCCTTTTGGGAGGGTGGGGTGCCATCTTAGAACCAGAAACAAAATAAATCATACGCTAAAAGTCAAACATCTACTATAACATATTTTAATTTTACTACAAAAAATATTTTTGTCATGATTTGTATTTGTATACTGTATGTATATAGATAGCATGTATACTGATGCATAATAACTAAAAAAAAATTCTTAGTTTTGTATATTGTGTGGGGGGTATGGTTGGGTGTGTGTGTATGGTGGGTTATGGATGGGTGTGGGGGGGTTGTGAGGGTGTGTGGCTGTGTGTTAGGGCATAGGGTAGGTTGGGGGTTGCGTATATGTGGGGGGTTGTGGGAACAGGGTGTGGGTGTGTGGTGTTTGTGTGGTGTGAGAGAGGGTGGGGGTGTGTGGGGACTGCCCCCATACTCCCCTCCATGGTGCAGCACAAGGCAGGGGCACTCAGCAGTGCACAGCTCTGGCCAGTGCTGCACATCACGTTGAGGAGTGCAGCCACCACCAGGCTGTCTCTATCACTGGTACCTCCTCCCACACACGCACAAGCCCCACACCCGTGTGCCATGGGAGGGAAGCCCCACGCACTGGAGCTGGCTGCCTTCCCCACCCCCTGCAGGGCTTCCCTCCTGTGCCACATGAGTGCAGGGGCTGTGTGTGCATGGTGGGGAGCGCCAGCAATAGCCTGGCAGGGCTGTGCTCCTCACTCCAATGTGCAATGCTAGTTGGAGCCATGTACCACCAGGCACCAGTGCCTGCACCAGGCAAGAGTGCCCTGAGCAGCCCTGCCTACTGCTGCTGCCACTCCTGCCTGCCAGGGCTGTACGCCATGGGGGGAATGTTTTGGGGGTCCCCACACCCTCCCACCCTCCTTCACATCCACACCCTTACCACCTGAGCTCCGTGCTGCCACTGTCCCCCTGGGTGTGGGCTCCACACTGCCACCAGCCCCATTGCCATGCACTCCCATGTGGGCTCTGCACTCCTACCCAGTTGCAGCTCTGCCTCAGCCATGCCCCCACCATTTCCTTACCTGCTGCCTGGAGCAAGTGGGACACCAGGGAAGCCCAGCAGCTCCCTGGCAGCTGCAGCAAGGGCAGCAGCAATCCCACCTGGAAGCTGCATGCTGGCCAGGCCAGGCACTTCTGCCTACGAGGGTGGGAGCAAGGCTCAATAGGATATGTTTAGGGCATGTGTATACATGGGCACCTTGCTCCCACCCTCGTGGGCAGAAGGGCTGGGTGGGGTACAATTCAGGCACGATGAAAATGTCTGGCAGGTCAGATGTGATCCGCGGGCCATATTTTTGCCTGCCCCTGGCCTAGGGCAATGTGAAGCACTTTTACTACTCTTTATTTAAAGAATGTGCTGGTGTTTGTATAGTCTATGAAGTAAAGGAAATGTACCAAGTCTTCTGCTAAAGCAAAGAAGGAAAAGAAAGGATACTTTCTCAGGGTATTTGGCATAATATGAACTATGAAAGCAGAGGCGCATTGATTTAAAATTGATTTAGTCATAGAATTTAAACTAGAATTTATTACAGACAGAACATGCAATGGAGTAGAACCCAGATCATCTAGATCTAAGTGGTTCTCGTCCCAGTAAATGTTCATTGGTTTGCCAAGTAAAGGACAAATTTTCTTCTAAGGCATCTCTTCTCTGCTCAGCTGGAGCTCATCAATGATTCCATGTAGCTGATTGGAGAAGCATTGTCCCTTTGAAATAAAAGTTGTAGCAAACAGTGAGGGGCCTCTCAGCTCTTTGACATAGCTCTGTTTATACCTAGGTTAATTTGCAAACCTTCATCTTTGCACATGTCTCAGGAACTAAAACTTACGAAGAACTCAGGTTTACTGTAGTTTGGAATAAGATTTATTACATCAGTAACAGGTAATAGCATCAGTATTAGGCTATCTAGCTGGCAGTTCATCCAGATCTAAGTGGTTCCCAAATTCCAGGGTGCATCACTGGAGGACCAAGGTCATATTTGCAGAGGCTGTGAACTTCTCCAGAAGATCTGGTGTCCTGTCCCAGGTGCTTGGGTGATTTCAGTACAGTTACATGGCCAATACATGCCAGCCTATGCCTGATCTGAAAGAAGTGTTAGGATGCTTCCTTTCTTCTACATGGGAACCTAGAAGGGGATCAGCTGCATGGATCACCTTATATTTATTCTTGGCATTTTTTAAGAGCAGCTTAAACAAATACTTTTATAAGATGGTTTAGAAAAGGATGATCCTTCCTTTTGCAGGGGCCTGGACTACATGACCTCCTGAGGCTCTCCCCTCCCTGGCCCTACTTTCTATTCTGTCATTCTAAGTCTGGATCCTGGTGTGAACAATCCCCAATAAGGCACATATACGTGAGATGTTTACTGAGGAGCTGCCTAATTAGCTCCACAGTAAAGTCTCAATGTCTACACATGCATCCCCATTAAGCTGCAGGAAACTAATTAACTCTCACACAGGTTAGTGCTTGTAAATACAAATACTATCCTATGGTGGAGTTATTTACTGTGCAACAACACATGTGTAGATGCTGATGGGGCTGGCTGGGGCATAAGGGTGCTTCAGAGTTGGGGCTGCCTGCTGGCTAGCCCCACAGTGGAGCACTCTCTTGCTCTGCCCAGTCCCTTTGCAGCTTGTTGAGCCAGGTAAGAGCAGCCCCAGGATGGCAGGCCCTCTGTCAGCTAGGGCTGCTCCAACCAAGCTCAATGTGCTGCAGTCCTGGGAACACATTCTCATTAAAAAGTTAGGTGACTGTGGCATTGATGCCTACATAGTCAGATGGGTCACAAATTGGCTAGGGGGCTGCACCCAGAGAGTGGTGGTGGATGGGTCATATTTGACCTGGAGGGAGGTGGGCAGTGGAGTCCCCCAGGGCTTGGTCCTTGGGCCTGTACTGTTCAATTTATTAGTGACTTGGATGAGGGGGTGAAATTCGCTGACAACACCAAGATTTGGGGCTAAGTGGGCACACTAGAAGGGAGGGACAGGATATAACTGGACCTGGAAAGGTCCAGTTACCTGGTGTATGAGAGTCGATGCTGGACTACGAGAGTCGATGCTGGCCTCATCGATAACTGGACTACGAGAGTCATAGTGGATGGGTCGGTATCGACCTGGAAGGGTGTGGGCAGTGGAGTCCCTCAGGGCTCGGTCCTAGGACTGATACTCTTCAATGTCTTCATCAGCGACTTGGACGAGGGAGTGAAGTGTACTCTGTCCAAGTTTGCGGATGACACAAAAATGTGGGGAGAAGTAGACACGCCAGAGGGCAGGGAACAACTACAAGCAGACCTGGACAGGTTGGACAAGTGGGCAGAAAACAACAGAATGCAATTCAACAAGGAGAAATGCAAAGTGCTGCACCTAGGGAGGAAAAATGTCCAGCATACCTACTGCCTAGGAAATGACCTGCTTGGTGGCACGGAAGCGGAAAGGGATCTTGGAGTCCTAGTGGATTCCAAGATGAACATGAGTCGGCAGCGTGATGAAGCCATCAGAAAAGCTAATGGCACTTTATCGTGCATCAGCAGATGCATGACGAACAGAACCAAGGAGGTGATACTTCCCCTCTGTCGGGCGCTGGTCAGACCGCAGTTGGAATACTGCGTTCAATTTTGTGCGCCGCACTTCAAGAGGGATGTGGATAACCTGGAGAGGGTCCAGAGAAGGGCCACGCGTATGGTTAAGGACTTGCAGGCCAAACCCTATGAGGAGAGACTGGGGCCCCTGGACCTCTTCAGCCTCCACAAGAGAAGGTTGAGAGGCGACCTTGTGGCTGCCTATAAGTTCATCACGGGGGCACAGAAGGGAATTGGTGAGGTTTTACTCACCAAGGCGCCCCTGGGGGTTACAAGAAATAATGGCCACAAGCT